TGAACTGAAGAGAAAGTGTGGCAGAAAAAATTGAAAAAGTGATGGCTGACAACTTCCCCAGATTGGCAAAAGACATAAATTTACAATTTCATGTTCAGCAAATTCCAAATAGAATAAAATTTTAAAATCCATGCCCAGATACATCATAACATTTTTGAAACTAAAAATAAAGAAAAAAAAATATTGAAAGCAGCCAGAGGGAAATGATGCACTACTTTTAGGAAAACAAGAATTTGAATGTCTGAGGATTTCTCATCAGAGACCATGGAACCCAGAAGGAAGTGGCACATTTTTCAAGTGCTGAAAGAAATTAACTGCCAATCCAGAATACTATATCCAGTGAAATTATCTTTCATCAAGGAAAGCAAAATATTAACTCAAAAGCAAAATTTTAACTCAAAAAGAGTTAAACTGGACTTTCCCATTGGTGCAGTGGATAAGAATCTGCCTGCCAATGCAGGGGACATAGGTTCCATCCTTGGTCCGGGAAGATTCCATATGTTGCCAAGCAACTAAGCCTGTGCACCACAAGCTCACTTTCAAGGCCTGTGAGCTTCAACTATGTATATATATGTATACATATATCCCCTCCCTCTTGAGCTCCCCTCCCACCCTCACCGCCATCCCATCTTAGCTCATCATCCTAGCTCATCCAGCTCATCACAGAGCACCCAGCTGAGCTCCCTGTGCTCTGTGGCAGCTTCCCACTAGCTCTCTGTTTTACACGTGGTGGTGTGCACACATCAGTACTACTCTCAGTTCGTCCCACCTTTTCCTCCCTGCCACTGGTCGTGTCCACAAGTCCATTCTCTACGTCTGTGTCTGTATTCAGTATTCAGTCTTTTTAAATACTCATGGAACATGTACAAAAACTGACTATTTATTAGGACACAAATACAAATTATAAAAAGCAGAACATATAGAACTAGTCTCTAAATAAAATAAATAAAATTAGAAACTAACCACAGAGTACAGTCCAAAATTTATCTCATTAAAAACACCTTTTAAAAGTTATTCTTGGATTAAAGAAGAACTTGAAATTGAAACAACCAGCTAGCTGGAAATGGATTGAAAACTAGAGCAACATTTTGGGGATGTATCTGAAGTTATTCTCAGAGAAAAAATATTACAGCTTTAAATCTCTTCATCAAGCAAAATAAAGGATAACACAAAAAATAAAATGAAACAAAAATTAGAGGTCAATTCTATTTATGAAAAATTGGCCAAAATCCCAAGTAAAGTACTAATAAAGTGAATCCAGCAGCATATCAAAAGAGGAAAAACACTATGACTAAGAAAGGTACATTACACAGATGTAAAGATGGTGAGCATCAGGAAGCCTAATACTGTCACTCACTACGTTTATAGATTCAGGGAGAAAAACAGCAGGTTCTAAAGGAAAAAAACCTGTGTGGCAAAAAAGCCAAGTAAAAGACAATTGACAAACCAGAAAAAATACTCATAACTAACATTCAAGATTAATTTCCTGAATATATACACTCTTAGACATCAATTTTTTAAACCAGTAATTAATAGAAAAATATGCAAAGGATGTGTAAAGTTGGTTCTCAGAAAAGGAAATGCAAGTGGCTCTTCCACATGTAAAAAACTCAAGTTTGATCCACTCATAACTAGAGAAATGCAAATTAAGACTGTCCCAAGAGATCTCAGTTGCTAAACACCATTCTCCACTAAAAAGCACTTTTAGCTTCTTAGAAGAACAGTTGATCCTAGGATTGGGATGGGGAGAATATAAAATGAACCCGAAGCATCTTATAGAGTCAGGAAATAAGAACATGGATGGGACTTCCCTGACAGTTCAGTGCTTAGGACTTCACACTTTCACTGCAGGGGGCACTGCAGCTTAGATCCCTGGCGGGGGAGCTAAGATCCACATGCTTCTCAACATGCCCCCCCCCAAAAAAGAAGAAGTAGGGGGAAAGTACATGGGGCACGTTAGCTATAGAGGCTCCCACCTGAAGGAGATAGGTCCTAATGGCCAAAGAGGGAACTGTGTAACCAACAAAATTAAACATGATAGTATTTAACTATAACCTGAAGAATAAGTTAAGATAAATAAGGGAAGGAGAAAATATTCCTTACACAACGAATATAAAAGGAGAAGGGCCACCCCACTTCATTCAACAGCTGACATTTCTTAGTGCATCCTGTGTGACGGGTTCTGGGAGGGGGCGGGCCATGATGACAGGCCCCTGGGAAGCTCAGAGCCTGCCAGGGGATGCACAGTGGTCACAGGTCACCCCACGCAAGGGCACCCACCTGTCTCTGCTTGCCCTCTCGTGGGCCGTCTCAGCCAATATACTCAGTCCCTATATTTTCTTTTTCCTCAGAACCCCTTCAGTATAAGAGATATAAGTTACATGAAATCCTATGCGCCCATTTTAAGTGTCCAGTTTGGTGTGTTTTGACAAATATAAGTTCCTGTAAAACCATCACCCCAGTCAAAATAAAGAACATTTCCAGCACCCCAGAAAGCTTCCTCATGCCCCCAGGTAACCACAGATCTGACTTTTGTCACCATAGGTTCGTTTCACCTGTACTAAAATTTCACAAAAATGGATTCAAAATTATCATCCCTTTGGGTCTGACTTTCTTAATTCAACACAATATTTGCAAAATGCATCCATGTTGCTGCATGTGTCAATCATTTATTTCTTTTTATTGCTGAGAAGTATGCCATTGCATAAACATCCCATGGTTAGTTTACTCCTTTACCTGCTGATGGACCATGGGTGATTTCCAGTGGGAGCTATTAAAAATAGGCTTACCACAAACATCCGTCTACAAGCCTTTGTAGAGATGTATGCTTTCATTTCTCTTGGGTAAATGGCTGGGTCATATGGTAGATCTCTGCTTAACTTTTTTTTTTTAAGTTTTTTATTTAATTAAATAAAGCTAATTTACAATGTTTTTCTGCTGTACAGGAAAGTGATTCAGTTATACAGGCATATATATTTTTTCCATATTATTTTCCATTATACTTTATTAAAGGATATTGAATATAGTTCTCTGTGCTATACAGTTGGACCTTCTTGTTTATTCATTCTATATATAATAGTTCACATCAGATAATCCCAACCTCCCAATCCATCTCTCCTCCACCCCCTTGACAACCACCAGCCTGTTCTCTATGTCTGAGTCTTTTCTGTTTCATAAATAAGTTCATTTCTCTAATCTTCACCTGACCATCTCCCAGAGAATTTGGAGTAAAATCTAAACCCCAAGGCCTGGTCTTCTACAGTCTGGCTCCTCCTCTTGTCTGATTCATCTTCTTCCCCCAGCTCTTAGCTCAGTCCTTTCTTCCACACAGGCTGCTACTTTGAACCAGCCACTCGTTTATTACCAAGAATCATCTTACTCAGGATTCTCTGGACACCTTTACCCACCCACCCTGCCCCCTCAAACAAATCTGGGATTTCCCTGCCTCTTGGGCTTCTAGCACTGGTGTGGAATGAATAAATAAATGATTCAATGATTCTTACCTAGCTGGGAAGGTCCAGAAGTCTCCTTTGAGACAGTGACAATGTGGTTATGATCACAGAATAAAGAGTTAATCAGATAACATTTCTCTTCTTTGTTATCTGATTCCAGGCAGAGGGGTCAGCATTTACAAAGATTCCTTTGCAAGAAGCAGCATGGAGGAGGTAATCAGCTCTACAGGTGGGAGAGACAGAGGAAAGGGTAGCAAGGGGCTGTTTTAACTCTATACCAAGACCCCAAGCAAGATGGGAAGCTATCAAGGTCTTTGCAGGTGAGGACATGGAAGCAACTGTGATGGATGACTTAAGCATCCCTCTGTCTCCAAAGAGAGGAAGCAGAGAGGCCCCCTATAGGCACCCTCACAGGACTTCCCTGGTGGTCCAGTGGTTAAGGCTGTTTTCCAATGCAGGCGGTGAGGGTTTAATCCCTGGGTGTGGAACTAAGATCCCACATGCCAAAAAAGTAAAAAAGAAAAGAAAAGACACCCTCACAACAGTCCAGGAAGGAGACAGGTGTTGTCTGAAGTCTAGTGGAGGCTGTGGTGGTTAAGACATGGACAGACATACAAGAAAGCTTTAGGAGGTGAAGATGGGCGGGTCACTGGCTCTTAGGGGTAGAAGGGCAACTGGCACAGCCCATTGCAGAGGCTCAGGCATATTAAGAATGTCTTGGGCGGGATTTTGGTCACACTGAACTCCATGGAGACATGTGTGTGTGCTGTGTAGGGGCTGGGGCTCCGAGGTCTAAGTATGGGAGTCCTCCCAGGATGAAGATGCTTGGGGCGGGGGGGGGGGGGGGGGGGGGGGAGGGGCGTGCCGCCGAATCCAGGGCTGGGGCAGCCAAGGAAGAAACTCCAGGAGGCTGGACAGGCCAAAGAGGGGTGGGGTGGCCAGCGGAGAGACAGAGGGAGTGGGGCAGGGAGCTGACCGCGGGGGTCAAAGCCGCAGGAAGACAAGAGAGTAGTCTCGCTCTTTGAAGGCCTAAGTTCCTGGGTCCCCAGCACGCATGGGCAAGAAGTTAGACGGGAGACAGCGAAAGCCGACAATCTTCTGGGCAAGGAGGGGTGGTTTGAGAGCTCCGACGGAGTGTTGGGGGCGGCAATAAGAAGGTCTCCGGCCGCCAGGACAGGGGTGAGGAGAGAAGGCGGGGGTCTGAGGAAGCCCCCTGCCAGCGCGGGCTGCAGGAGTGCAGGCAGCCGAGGTCCGAGGGGTAGGAGGGGCGGAGGAGGAGGAAGGCGGGCGGAAGAGGGGAGAGAGGAGAGGAGGGGGCAGGACTCAGGGAGGACGGCTGCAGGCGAGGAGGCGAGGAGCGCACAGGAAGGGAGGAGGGGCGGGGCGGGGGCGGAGCGGCAGGGATGCGCCCCCGCGCCCTGCGAGTCTGGCCCCGCTCTCCTTCCGCACAGTCGGGGTTTCCGCTTCCCTCCCGAGCGCAGGGTGAGAGGGAGCGAGGGTGAGAGGGAGCGAGGCCGAGTCTCAGCATCGGCCGCCGCCGCCGCCGCCATGTGGCCCCCAGACCCGGAGCCCGACCCGGACCCCGAGCCCGCGGGCCGCTCCCAGCCCAGCGCGGCCCTTCCCGGGCTCCGCGCCCTCCTGCCGGCGCGCGACTTCCTCTGCTCGCTCAAAGGCCGCCTCCTGCTGGCGGAGACGGTGAGTGCGGCGCCCACGGCCCCCTCCAGGCGGAGCCCAGCCCCCGGCGGCCGCCCCCTCCTGCAGCCCCGCAGAGTTAGGCTGAGTTGGGCAAACTTCTCCCGTTTGGGATGGGCTCGCTGAAGCAGAGCCGCGCGCCGGTTGCAGGCGATGCGGGGGCCGCAGGGGAGCCCGGGGAGGGGGCTCACCGACTCGGCGGCCGGACCCCGGGGAACCCAGCCCGGCGCTGTGTGACCTCCGGCGCCTCCGCCCTCTCTGGGCCCCTAGGACGGGCTGCGTCCCCGCATCTTCAGGCCTCCCTCACAGGCACCCCGCTCCGCAAAACCTCCCGCCACGCCCCGGCGGGGTCCGGGAGGCATCGGCCCTTTGCGACCCAGGGTGGGCCCACTGCTCCTTGGCTCACTTCCTCGGGCGCAGGGAGGACCGGCCTGGCCTCGAGCTGCTGGGCGGAAGCCAGAGTGGAGTCCCGCCAGCCGGGAGGGGGTACCCCCCGGGATTGGGTGCGGCCCGGGCCACAAGGTTGGGGGGCGCGCAGGAGCCTACCCCCACCCCGACTGCGGGGGGGCGGCCGGGGGTGGGGTGGGGAATGACTTCATCCCCCGCCCCTTGCCCGCCCTCGTTGGGACCCAGCCCCAGCCGTCCCAACCCCGCTGAGCTCCTTCCTTCTTCCCGCACCCCCCACCCAGGCACGTCAGCCCTTTGTCTTTGGGACACTCTGAAAACCCCTCGCACTGTCGGCCTGTGGGGTTGGGGGTTGGAGCTGGGCCTCCGTGGAGGGGAGGGAAGGAAGACGCCTAGCTGGGAGGCGGGATGAGACAGACACACTTGTTACTTGGATCTCCAGCAATTTGATAACCCCTGTCATTATTCCCACTTTGCAGATGGGAAAGCTGAGGCCCCAGCGTCTAGAGGATTTGACCTAGATCAGTTGCGAGTCAGGTGACAGCATGGTTGAGAACAGGAGGGATCAGAGGGAGGAGGACTCTGTCCCCACCTCTCCTTTGGGCTCTCAGGGGACAGATGGCAGGCGTTGGTCCTACCACCTCCTCTGCCTCTGGGGTCAGCTCAGAGGTCACAAGGCCAGCACCTGTCCAACTCCCCACATGAAGCACCCCAATTGTGGACTCAGCTCACACTACTGGGAGTCACCTCCTGGTTGGCCACTTTGCAGACTGATAGGAGCCACATTTGTGGAGAGAAGCCTTGAGTCCACGGCCCACTGAGGGGACCCCAAACACACCCGGCTCAGACCCTTCTCATGGTTGAGGAGAGATGGCCAGAGTGTAGAGGAGGCCCTTGGCAAAACTGGGCACCAAGATCCTAGGTCCAGGTGGATGAAGAGGGGAGGAAGGACGGATGAGGGATGGGCACTGAAGAGGCAAGAGGAGCCAATTGAGATCACTCCTGCCTCCTCAGGTCACCTCTGGCTGCCCCCAGGCCCAAGCAAGTGGGAGGCTGACATGGGCAGGAAGGAGGAGGAAGTTGCCACCAGGAATCCAGGGAATGAGGAACAGAATCAAAAGGGGGATCCCCAGAATCAGGCTCTGGGGGGGAGGGGAAAGGAAAATGAGGGCCACAGATAACAGCCTTTGGCACAGGAAGTAGAGGATAGGGTTGGGCCAGGGTCCCGGGGCCTTGTGTTCTTGGGAGGCCCCAGCAGCCTCTCAACACATCTCTGCCTTAGTGTCCCATCTGTTCAAGCTGGGCTCAGCTACCTCCGTTGTCATGTTCAGAGCAGACACCCGTGTTCCGCAGCTTTCATCTGAAGTCACCATGATGCCCCCTGAGGGGCATCTGGGTGTCATCCCTACCGAGCCCCCCAGACCCCGCTCTGAGCTACTCAGCCATGGATGTGCTCAAACCCAGCCAGAGTGACCGAAAGCAGGATGGAAAAGAGCCAGCAACCACGGAGCAGGATTGCTTAAAAACTCCACACGTGGAGTCAGCCAGACCAGAGTTCAAATTCTGATGCCCTTTTATTAGCTGTATGACACTGAGCAAGCCACTTCATCTCTCTGAACCTCACTCTTTTCATCTGCAAAGTGGGCTGTGAACAGCACTGGATGCACGGGTGGTGATGAGGAGCTCTCACAAGCCTCGTCAGGCCCTGGCCCTGTGAACAGCCCCATCAACCCCGTCTGCACTTCCCAGGGCATGGTCTGCAGAGCTAACGGGCCTCGGCATCCTCCAGCACCAGTTGCAAAGGCTGCAGCGAACATCTCATTCTCAGTCAGTTCCTCATGACACCTTGCCCCTCCTTTCACAAAGGCTGGACCAGTGATGCAGCAGGCCATGCAGTGTCAGTGTTACCACTCCCTCTCCCTCTGGATGTTTATTCTTTATTATGAAAATTTGAAAATATACAGCAAAAACATATGCCCACCAATTATACAGTTGGTAACACATTGCCTTATTTGCTACTTACTTTCTCTCATATCTCTTTGCAACCTGGCTGACTCTTTGTGACCCCATGGACTATACAGTCCATGGCATTCTCCAGGCCAGAATACTGGAGTGGGTAGCTGTTACCTTCTCCAGGGTATCTTCCCAACGTAGGGATCGAACCCAGATCTCCCACATTGCAGGCAGATTCTTTACCAGCTGAACCACAAGGGAAGCCCAGAATACACTAGTGGGTAGCCTATCCATCCCTTCTCCAGCAGATCTTCCCAACCCAGGAATCGAACTGGGGCCTCCTGCATTTCAGGTGGATTCTTTACCAACTGAGCTATCAGGGAAGCCCCTCTCACATCTCTCTCTGTCCATCAGTCCACTTTCTTAACTTTTTTATAATTTATTTTTGGTTGCACTGGGGCTTTGTTGCTGCTCGCCAGCTTTCTCTAGTTGTGGCGAGCAGAGGCTACTCTTCATTGTGGTGCATGGGCTTCTTATTGTGGTTTTGCTTGTTGCTGGAGCACAGGCTGTTGGTGCATGGGCTTCAGTAGTTGCAGCACACACAGGCTCAGTTGCTCCTTGACATGTGGAGCCTTCCTGGACCGGGGGTCGAACCAGTGTCCCCGGCTTTGGCAGGCAGATTCTTACCCACTGTACTACCAGAGGAGTCCAATCCGTTTTTAGTGCATCCAAAGTAAATTGCAGACATTGGTACGTTTCAATTCTTGAATACTTCAGCAGGCATATTATTAACTAAAGTGCCAGATTTGTGTCCTGTTTTTCATGTAAATTCTTCATTCATTGAAAAGCAGATCTTGAGTTTTGGGTGTAATTTTCAGAAACTGGCTCTTGATTAGTTGACTGCCTTTGAGAGGGCATAGGTTTGATTCTCCCCTGTGGAGCACCATCTGGGTTAGGTGGATTCTGCCACAGAGCCTCAGAGGTGGGTGGCAGGGAGGTAGCCTTCAGGGGGACTGGACGCCGTGAGAGGCTGGGGCTTCCTCACTGGGTCCTGGTCGGGAGCTAGCCTGAGTCTGGGTGCAGGGCCATGCCCAGAGGCACTGGGGGCAGCACCGTGTGGGTTCTAATCCTGCGGCTGCAGAACTGGGCAGGTCCCTCCCTGCTGAAGCCACCTCTCTTCCTGCCTGCCGGGTGGGGCTGTGCACAGCCCCTGACCTCTCCCTCCCTCGCCTCCCAGGGTCTCTCGTTCATCATCTTCGTCTGCTATGTGGCGTCCTCAGCATCTGCCTTCCTCACGGCGCCCCTGCTGGAGTTCCTGCTGGCCCTCTGCTTCCTCTTTGCTGATGCCATGCAGCTGAACGACAAGTGGCAGGGCTTGTGCTGGCCCATGATGGTGAGGGCTGGGGCCCCAGGAGGAAGGGGTTGGCTGACCCTCACCCTCCCTTCAAGTCACTGGAGGCCGTTTGGAGCTAGTTGGAACCTGTTGGGTAGGCCTGGCCTTGAATGATCCAGGCCTCACAATGCAGCAGCCAGGGGACCCAGAGCAGGTTGCCCGCCTCCTGGGCCTCCAGGGTCCCTCCGTGAGGCTGTGAACACAGATGGCATTCTCACCCTTGGCCATCAGGTGGCGCTGGTGCTCCCAGCTGGGCCTTTCGGAAAGAGCCTTGGCCGCAGGAATTCTAGCCATTTCCATAAGGGGCAGGGCCGGTTAACTGAGGACTTGCAGGGCTCCCCCAGATCTCAGCCATCTGGCAACTCATTTTATCACCTGGGAAGGCCCAGAAACCCACCCTGGACTTTGCTGTATGAAATGAGTGAGAAGGGACAGCAAAGGTGCACTTGAAACACTTGAACCCTGGTCTCCAGCTTTCTCCCCTGTCTCCATTTTAGGGATCAGTAGGTGCAAACCATGGTACAAAAATGAATCTGCCACAAGCATGTGGCATAGCAAGGCCAGTGACCAGCCCTCGCTATTGGAGAGCCAGAGGGAGCGGGTGACAAGGTTTCCAACTTCTCCCTCCCCACCAGCTGGGGCAATCTGCATCTGGGCCAGGCCCCAGGGTGGGCTGCAGCCTGGTCCATACCCTGTTGTCCACCTGTCAGAGAAGGGCAGGCAGGGAGCACCTGGACAGGGCAGGAGTAGAGGTTGGAGGAGGACCAGGGTGTGCAGGTGGGGCCTGGAAGGGGGAGTGCATGGATGCTGGTCTGGGGGCCCCGCCTATGTCCCGGATCTGACAGTGGGATTCCAGCCCTGTCCTTGGCACACACTGCCCTTCTGAGCCCCTCTCCCCTGCCTCAGCTCCCCGTGGCTACCTTCCCATGCTGTGTGCCCCATGCCAGGGAGCTCACAGCTGTGCGACTGCACCCCTGTCTCCCCAGGACTTCCTTCGCTGTGTCACAGCGGCCCTCATCTATTTCGCCATCTCCATCACAGCCGTGGCCAAATACCCAGATGGGGCTTCCAAAGCAGCCGGGGTGAGTTGCTCCCCAACCTCTGGGAAGAGGGGTTCCCCACTCACGTTCACCCCACTCCTAAGTGGGTTCCCCTTCTAGCTCCTTGGGCACAGTCTACTTCTGCCGAGGTACCTTGGCCTTTCATCATGGATCTCAGCAACGTCACAGTCCTCTGGTTGAAGACTTACTTGGCCCAGAATTTGGAAAGGCTGTTGGCCAAACCAAATTAACAGCTCGATTTCCTATCTGTCATTAACGGGAGGGGTCTGTGCTCACCATTTCTGAGCTGCTTATCCAAGCAGATGAAGACAAGCTATGGGAATGGGGCAGCAGCTGCCCGGAGCAGCCTTCCCCGTTCCTGCTGACATGTGCCGTCCGCCCCACCCGTCTCCCACAGGTGTTTGGATTCTTTGCCACCATCGTGTTTGCCATTGACTTCTACCTGATCTTTAACGACGTGGCCAAATTCCTCAAACAAGGGGACTCCGCACACGAGACCACAGCTGACAAGGCAGAAGGTGAGTGGCCACCCTGTGGGTTCCACCAGCTAACCAGGCTCGTCACCTGGAACCGTCTCTGTGGGGACCCTGCCCTCCCTTGGGGGCACTTGGCTAGTTTAAGGCTGGAGTAAGAACATTTCCTCTCTCCTCGCGGGCAGGAAGTGTGTTCACAGCCTGGTTCTAATATCTCTTCATGTGGCACTGATGATAAAACTGGTCCCCTCTGGGGCTTCAGCCTCTCCAGGAAGGGCATGCTGAGGGGCACCCCGGCACGTCCTCGCCTCATGAGACCACTCCTGGACGCTGTCCACTGGGCTGCAGAATGGCCACCGGTCCCAGAGTAGCCCCCCAGTCTCCAGTCTTGCCTGCCCCCCAGCTTAAAGACCAGCAAGCCAAGCTCTTATCCACAGCACCCAGGCAAATACAGGGCAGCTTGGGCTTGTTTTATCCAAGGATGGATATTTTTTATATTCAGGAAAAAGTGCCACAGACTTTCTGGCCACCTCCAGCCATCCTTCAGCTCAGAATGGCTGTTGTGCCATTACCTAACTTAAGAAGAAAGAAAAAACCTGCAAGCTGGCTGGCTGGTTTTTCTATCCGTGACAGCACCCATACCAACACGTCACATCCTTGGGGTACATGTGCAGCACAGGGGGGCCCTTGAGGGACATGCCCAGAGGGACCAAGCCAGTTGGGAGCTTGTGATCTCGCAGGGCTTCCTCAGCCACAGCCTGGGGCTTTCCTGCCTGGGGAGGCCATCAGAGGAGGTAGAGGGGCCCCAGAGGGGCGGGACCTGGAGAGGCAGTGGAGGCTCCAACACAGAAATGCAGGGAAGCCCAGGAGCCGATCTGGGATGGAGGACCCAAGCTGTTCACCTGCCTGTCCCTCTCCAAACTCCCAGGCAGGCTTTAAATGGACAGACAGATGTCAGCTCCCTGCAAGTGAGTAAATCGGATGTTTGGCTCAGCACAACTCCTCCCCCCAAGCCTGGTGTCCCTGATCCCTCCCAGCCCTTCTGTCAGCATCTGTTGACCCAAACACCTGCTGAGGCTGCCGTGTGCTGGGCCCTGGGGATGTGCAGATGGGCAGGCTAACTACCTGCCCTCAGGGATTGAGAGGGCAGGAATCAGACCCAGAGACAGAGTGGTGGTGTACACGCACGGCACACACAGGGAGCAGGAGGAACCCAAGTGGACGTCGTCAACTGTAACAGCAAAAACGAGAGCTCACGGCGGGTATGAAGCAGCTGAGGGAGCGCCCCTCCTACGGGCCAGCTTGGAGGCTGTGGAGGTGACTCTAGAGCTGGGTTTTGATAGATGTGTAGGAGTGTGCGGGCAAAATAAATGGGGCAGGGGGAGTGAGGACCACAGACTGTAAAGGGCAGGTGCCCCATCCAGGTGAGGTGCTTCTCTGGAACAGGTGGTCATGCCCTGTGAGGATTAGCAGTGACACGGGGCTGGACAGAGACAAGGGGCGTTTCACGGGGCATCTTCCCACTGAGGGCCTGCTGTCCCAGGCAGGTGACACTGAAACTCCTGGGGCAGGGGAGACTGAAATGGCTAAAAACAAGCTTCCTGCTTTTCCAGTATGTTTTAGTTTCTCGGACAACAGCCAGCCCTACTGCAGGCTGGGGGACAGAGCGTAGATATATAAGCCTGCCACCAGCAGTGAGAACAGCCAGGCAGATTTGGGAGAGCCTGGGGCCCCAGAGGAAGGGGCATCTGGGTTCCCCGCCTCCTTCTGCTGCAACCTAGAGGGTCCCAGGCACTCATAGTCCCCACACCAAGCGGACACCACCATCAGCTGTTGTGGCCAGAGCCCAGGGTTCAAGCTGACAGCGCCTCCCTGGAGTCGGCTCTCAGTACCACTGGCCCCAGAACTACTGCCAAGCGTCCTCTCTGCTTTCCTTTCAGAAGAGAATTCCGACTCTGACTCCGACTGAAGACCTGCCCTGCCCTGGCACCTGAGCCACGCAGGCCTCCACTCCTGCACCTTTTGACCAGGCCGGCCAGAGTGTGGCCAGGGAAGCGTGTGGGGAGGGAGGCTGTGATTTCTCGAGCAGCAGTGGGAGCTGGTGATGGAGCAGGCCTCCTTACAGCCCCAGGCAACATTCCTGAGCCCCATATTCACAGTGGCACCCCTTGGCTTAGCACTGTCCAGCCTCTCTGCTGTGAGGGCATTGTGAATATTCCGCCCTTTCTCATTTCTGCCCCCACAACCTTAAGCCCTTTAACCTCTCTGCCAAAAATAAGCACGAGGGACAAAGCAGATAGAGCCTTGTTACCCCATCACAGGGGGCCCTTCATGTTGTGGCGGGTGTGGGGGAGAGAAGCAAGATAAAGACTGCCGCAGGGCCAAGCCCTGGGCCCCAGTGGTTTCCGTCTGCCGCTGGGGCCCCTGCTCACGCCAGGCACTGTCAAGAATGATCCTTCCAAAAATTCTTTTGTTCAAGGAGCACCAGTTCCCTCTTCATTCTTGAAGCAGGGAGAAAACTAGCCTTTACCCTGTGACCTAGGGGAGAGTAGGTCCCATTGCCCACCTCACACTTTTGGAGACCATGACTTCAGGTGACCTGCCTATTCTGGGTGTATGACTGTTGCAAAGCAAAGCTCGTAGACTAGCTTACCAGGTCCAAAAGATTGAAGGCTCCAAGTGACAAGTGGCAGCGACAGCGCCTGGGGCAGCTGGGCAGGCCCAGCCCAACCCTCTTTCCCCAGGGCCGTCAGCAGGTGAGTGGCTCCCAGGCCCTCAGGACAATGTACTTCTGGACACCTGACCCACATGAGGGGTGAGACGTGCCTTCTGTGTTCACCTAAGGACCTTATGCTGTGCATATATCTTCAGTAGGATTTTGTAACTTTATGTATGATTTTTTTTCTTTTTAAACACAAAAGCAGCTTCTTCAGTGGCATTTCCTGTGACCCAAGAGACCTTGTGAATGAGCCAAAGTTCTGGACCCATGTTTTGGGCATTTGTAGTCTTTTCTTCTTCTCTTGCATGTGAATCTCCTATCCTGAAAAAAGCCATCATGGATTAAACCAGACTGACTTCCTGCTTGGAGTGTGTGTGTTTGATAAAAACCTTACACACCCAAAGCAACGCTGTCAGGTGTGATGCATCAGCACAGAGTGGTCCCACACACCACGTGGATCCTGCGTCTGCAGGTTACAGCAGCGATGCCCGCGCACTTGCTCCCGGCCAGGCATCTTCGTGTGGGCTCTTCACTCCTCACATGATCCTCTTGTAGTCCAGGAATCTGACGGAAGGTTCGGTGAGTTGCCCAGGTCTCCACTAGAGGCCCGGGGTCTCAGCTTCTCGCATCAAGTTAACGGTCCCACAGTGAGTCAGCGTCTTGGCCCAGGTGATGGGAAAGATCAAGGCATCCTGCCCCAGCTTTTCGCACAATATGTAATGTGTTCTGAAAACATGTATGAAAGTAGAACCTGCAAAAGCCGACGGGCTGCCAGGGGTGGTGGCTCCACTTTGCCAGCCCTGGCCAAGCCACCAGTCAACAGCAATACCGAAGTGTCCTCACCCCCCACTGTGGCTGTTGGGCCCCCAACTCACAGGCCTGTTTCAGGATCTGGGCCACAGCCTTTGAAAGGGCGGGAGCAAGGCAGAGTGAAGAAAGAGACGATACTGTTTTTACATGTCCGTTTATTAAACAAGAACTCCTTCATGACAATACAATATTTATTAGCGATTAGTGTTGAGAAAATTATTTCCCTCTACATACAAAAATACAGATTTGAACACTATGAAAACAATCAGGGCAAGTACCGTGAAAAAATTGGTCCTTCAAAAGAAATAAAGGGGGAAAACTGAGGGCAGTGTGAGGCTCTGTAGGCTGTCAGGAATAAACCAACAGGAGCGAAGGCTCTGGGGCCCCCAAACCACTCTGAATGGATAGTCAAATCTGGGGCTGGTGGCAGCTGGGTGGGGCCCACACCGGCCTCAGAAGCCAGGATGGGAGCTCGGACCAACCAATAGCATAAACTGAAGTTTGCCGAACACACATCACTTCAGCTCACCCTACAGCTGCATCTACACTGTTAAAGGAAACAGACTTTTTAAGAAGCAAAGTGTAGTAGTTATGAAATTAACATTGCCCCTCCCCCAAGTACCACTGGGCCAAGTACCAGAGTAGTCACATGGGAATTATCAGCCATCTGACTCGTCTTCCTTTGTTACAAAATATGACACATTCTGTCTGACCCTTCAAAGCAGGAAAAAAAAAATTTTATGTTTCAATAAATCCATTCCTTCATTTTAAATGGGCTCAGCTAGTTTCCTCAAGATTTCTCTTGACCAGACATAACTCGGTCCTGCAGGGGCGGGAAAACAACAGGTCATCTGTGTCTTCATCAGGTTCGTCATAGCACGGAATCTAGTATGTTTGGGCCAAAAACCAGAAAGGGCCATCGAACCTATCCAGGGCATCCATGAACCAATCAGAGATCTGAGTGGAAGATGAACCCGAGACCAGCAGAATCACTACTCCCACTCCTGCCCCAGGACGTCTCACACGGGCAGAGGGAAGCTGGTGGCCAAGGAGGAGGATGGCCTGAGCGATCTGGAAGACAGGCAGCAACCGGGAAAGGGCTTGTCACCACTTCAGACCCAAAGAAGGGGAAGTCAGAGCACCGAGAATGATCTGTTCTGTTCTTGTGGAACCACTTTCCTCTTACCATTTGAGGTGAGCAGTGGCTGTTCAGAAGTAGCAAGTGAGTAAAAAAAAAAAGCCAAATGCAGTTATACTGATTAATAACTATTTCACAGAAATATACTCTTACTCTCAGACTGTTTAAGCAGAAACGAGATGTTGGGGAGAAAGCAGCAGAGAAGAGACAGGGAAAGCTGAGGGGTTGGATTTTTTTTTTCTTTTTTAAAATACATAAAGAAGTTTTAAAGGGAAAACGACCGAACCTCAAAACTAGCATTGCTGAAAGCAATATTAAAAGGACACAATCTAGAATCATGCTACAAAAATAGTGTTATCTTGTTTAACCAAATGTACATCTTTTTCAATTCCATGATTGACGGGAGTGTTTATGTGACTGACACACAGAAGGCACCGAAGGTGAAGTGATTATTATTTGTCTTAAAATATACAAAGACATAATTACCTACTTTGGGAAAAGGAAAAAATACAGTCATACTTGTAATAAATAGCTAAGTGTGTTTGCCACGGGTTCCTGAACCCCTACAAATCTCAACATATACAAATAGTTTCGCCCCCTGGCGTTCTCTTACTGCTTAGAAAAAGCATTGGTTTTATCCACATACGTCAGTTTCATCATGAGGCAGGGTTTGAAAACTCGTTTTCAAACGAGTGACAAGAGCTGGGAGCGGGGTGAGGCCTTGGGCCTGGGCCAGTCCTGGGGGGACGGGGGCGGTGCACATTGCGTCCCACCCTTGAGCTCCCCCAGGAGGCTTTGGACCAGTCAGTTTTCCCTCCAAGCCCCGAGTATCTGCCTTCCTCACATCTGCAGAGAGAAGAGCAAAGTCCTGAAACGTGAAGTCGATTCTGGAAAAGGCAGGAAAGCAAAATGGGCCACAAAGGGAAGCAGCCAGACGCGGCCCTGCCTGCCTGGGCACCAGGCTCCCATGCCGGCCTCGCTTCCTTCGGGTGGCTGTCCTGATAAAAGGGGTGCCTCCTACTGGGTTTCAGCAGCATCCTCCCAAGATGACTCAAATTGGATACTTTCAGATTATTACTGAATCCTCGTCAAATCAATTGTGTCACACGTTCTCTCTTCTGAGGCGCAATGGTGAAAAGAAACTTCAGGCCTCACCCTAATCCTGCCGGCAAAGCTGATTAAGGTCATTTGAGACAAGGTCCTACTCTAAATGAAAGTTCTGATGTAGCTCACTGGAGTCCAGGCTATTAACCCCTTCATGAAGGCTCTCGGCCCTGTGTAGAATGCATCCCAAAGGAGACACGACATGCCAGGGTGTCCAGATAGCAGTCACCCAGACTGAAGTCTTGGAATAAAAAATAGACAACAAACTAACCCTGTGAAAAAGATACATGATTCAAGGATCCATAAACTAAACATTAGGCAAATTGCCACTGATTTAGACTCAGTGGGCTGGTGGGTAATTTTTTTTAATGTTTATAGAATAATAAAAACAAGAAAGTAAAAAATAAATCCCCAAGGCTGAGAAATTACATCCAAATGAAATGAGAATATAATCTAAACCAAAAAATGGAGTTTCAAGCCTGTGAGTATATAAATGCCATTTACTGGTATGAAGAAAAGCTAAAGCTAAACAAACATTAAACTTTGAGGAAAAAAATTATTCTAGATCTAACAGATATTGAGGGCAGAAACAGTTTCTAAATAAATGTAAAGAGCCACAAAGATTTCGAATTACCTTCTCAACCAGACAGTTACAATTTCAGCTATATCTTCTGAGGAAAGAAGAAATGGGAGGTTTTACAAAGAGCCAGGAAGGTTTACACAGCTCGAGGCAGGCGGTGTTAGGTCTGTGTCCCCTCTAAGGGGGCCCCCAGATCAGAATCTGAATCACCTGTCCACACCTGTGAGTTCCTAAACTCACACAAAGAGCCCAGCAGTGCCCAGGCACTCTGGTCGCAACATTCGGCTCCTGCTCTCAAGTGGAGCCAGAATACAAGACCTTGCTTTTCCAAAGAGGACAGGAAGGTAGTTAACCAACTACAGCCTGGCTGGGTAACCATTTCCAGCGCGCTCGACAGGCCCACAGCAGACGGTCTGGGCCTCCTCCTCCCTCCGCTCACCTCTCAGGCCCGCCCCTGCTCCCTCCTCATCAGCTGTCACTGAGCTGGTCCTGGGAGTGGGTGCTGATGAAATAAGAGCCCCTAGGTTCTGCACACTTCACCAGGAGCTAGAAACGTGTCTGGAGATCTCACTTGCTAACGGCAGTCACTAGAGCAGGAAGCAATTTTTTATGTGGTTGAGACAATTTAGAAGCAGCCCTCAGCTGAGTTGTTTTTGCCTTTTGCTATCTGCTTAGTATCACATTTTCCTGTAAACCACATGTGGAGAAAATGACTATCGGGCCTGGGCACAAAGACTTCATGGTTGCTTTGTTTGGAACATGGGTGGCATACCGGGACCCACTTACATCATCACTGCCTCCCAGAATCACTAAGGTGGCCATGTGTTTTCTCCACACTCTGTTAGGGCAGATTCTAGGAACAGCCCACAGAAAATCTTGTACAGCCTGAGATGAGGAACTTGGTCCACCTCTTAAACACATGGAGAGGCGAGGGGTTCCTTCCCAAACAGCACAGGTGAGTCTATGAGAAAAGGTGAGCTTGGGCCACACACATGACACATGGAGGGGGTATTCAAGGGTCATTTTCTGCAAGCAGGAATTCACATACATTTGCAGACCAGAGTTAGTGCTTAATCTCCTCAGAGGCTGCCTGTGGCTCAACCCAAGACTGAGTCACTCAGAAAGCCTCAAAGAAAGGCGAATGAAACTGCAAACTTTAAAAGACTAGGAATGTTTTCAACTGAGTCACCAAGCTCTCTCAAGAAGCCTCTGACATGGGGTGGGGTCAGATGCACCCCATGCCTGCCCACAGGAATGAGCCTTTAGCCAAGGGACAGTGATGGTGTCCAAAGGGTAGGGGCTGACATCCACCTCCCAAAGCCGAGCCCACAGAACCAGACTGGGTCCCCAGCTTCCCTGCAGCCAGCCTGGGCTCCATCCACATTGGCACTTTGGTTCAAGCTGCCAAGGAAGACATGGATATTGGGACTGGGCAGGCGTCAACATTCTTGCCTTTCTGTGGGCAAAGGTAGTCTCTCTTGAATGACTTGCTGCAGGGTGAAAATCTGTTTCCTTTACTTCAAATAGAACTTCTGCTATGAGGTTTTAATCTGTAACTGCCAGTGCCTTCCCCAGCTTTATATAGAGCTGACAAGTATCTTTAGGCTCTCATGACTGGAATCTCTCTGTATGAAAGGGCTAATGTACCCCACCCCCCTCCCATGTCTTCGGCAATGTGAAGGGAGGGTAAAGGAGAATCAGAGAAAAGAAAAAATACCACATCAACCAGATTGATGCCAGGATAAACTTTCTCTGAAGACGTCAGTGTTTGCATCCATCTAAAACCACCAGAGGTTCCACCAAATGCTTGAGGGTTTCAACCATCCAGTCTCCAGGAACAAATTCAAACATATACAAAAGTTGGGCATCAACTGTGAATGCCAACATCATCCCACCAGAAAACTAAAAAACACTAAGATTGCCTCAGTCTTAAAAATTTCCCAAACCAAACTGACACTGGTCCATATTACAACTATTAAATGCAGAAATAAGCTTATTTCAATTTGCAAAAAAAAAAAAGCCCTTTTAAGCCTCCCCAAATCTAGATTGTCTTGTTCGTACACAGAAACAACATAAAGAAAATGCAAGTGTCTTTCCATTCACACTAGACAACCATATTCCTTCCTTCCTTCTCACCACGTGACAAGACTTATGACTCTACAGTACGCCAATCAGCATATCTGGTCACGTTCGGCTATACAGGGAGCTAATTAAATATAAAGAAATATATTTACAAAAACCATGGGAAAGCCTCATGGCACAGAGGACATTAAATAGTTACAGGGACATAAATAATTCCAAGACTCTAACACTAAGATGTAAGTTAATTCCTAAGTGGTCTATGGCACAAGGTGTCACCACTTTTTATCATCTGTCAGCGTGTACAACTTCAATGGGCTTCAGAACTGTTCCTTGCAGCTGACAACACATCCTCAGGATACCAACAGACTCCTTTCAACCAGATGATAAACTGGTTGTATTGAAGTGACTTGGAAAAACTTGGGCAACAACCCTCGCCTGAAGGGTCTTCTTTTTTCCAATCTCACTTCAAAGGCAGCTTTTTATTGAGGCCAAGTAACATGAATCCCAGAGGGAGATTTCTGATAAAGTTCCGGGTGGTCCTTCCAAGTGGGCCCCATCTGATGCAAGGCTGAGTCTTTGTAACCCTGTTTTTAAATGGAACTCTCAGAGAGCAATAAGCCCCATTCTGACGAAGCATATACACTCCACAAATGCAAAATAAATATATAAAATGAACAGATAAAATCCAGATGTCACAATCTCCTCAAAAGTCACTATACATAACAGGTATGAGGTTTGTGAAGCCTGGCTTGTACTGCCTCACAACATCCATGGGAAGAGGGCTCAGTCAGACCCGCCGTGCCCAGGCCTGGCTGCCCTAGGCAGGGACAGTGGGAGGTCAGTTACCCCCAGACAAGCTGGCTCTCTGAGCAGACCAGGTGGCCTGGGTCATGGCCCCAGAAAGGAACTTCAGCAGAACTTGAGTTGTATAGGATGTTCGGTTCAGGGAGCCCTAACCCCGACCCTTCAGAGACGGCACAGTACCATTTCCTGCAGGGTCCCCAGCCAAGCAGTGCTTCCTGACGAGGCCACCCGTGCAGGGAATTGTACGCTGCTCCACTCTGCAGAAGGCAATGCCAGCCTCACACAGGCTCTGCTCCCCCAGACCCCCTCTCTCGTGACACTGCCTGCTGCTGAAGCTGTAAGCGCTCACTAGCACAAGCTCCTGGGGACTCTCCTCATTAATGCAAAATCTTCCCACCAGCAGTGAGCGTTCTTTTCCTTGGTGAGGGCGAAACACAAACTTATCAGAGCTAGAGAGAGGTCTGTAAACATTAAGGACAGTTCGGAGAGTGAAAACCCGACATGTAAAAACAAATTTTCCGTAAGAGGAACAATTAGTCTCCAACAGAAAAAAACAAAAAACTACAGCATCGCAGGGGCTTGTGTAACTTGGTCACCACAATAATCTCCACTTTATCGAGAATTCATACAACACCTTATGTAACTAGAATGTTCCCTGACAGCCTCCAAGATAGATGTTCATAGTTATGACCCTGAGGTACAGGGTCGCCGCCCTCCGAAACATCAGTGAAAGGGGGTGTCGCGGTGCAGATTCAAGTAGTTTTCAAATCCTAGACGGAGCCACTCAGCATTCACTCTAGAACTCTTCTCAGGCGTGCCTTGAAAATCATGACACACCCTTGAAACAGAGGCGTGTCCCCCATCTGTGGTCCGTGAGGCCAGCAAATGGGCAAGGGTCCGGGCTGGTGGAACAGACTGTATTTCTTCTGTGGCTTTTATCTGAGAAGGTAAGATGACAGAAAATCTGCAGTCCAGCCTCAGCGTATTCAGGGAAGGTAGGAAACTGGAAAACAAGATGGTCCCCGTTTTCTTGGAGGAGCCTCTGGGATTTAGGAAGATGATTCCAGGGACATCTCAGCAGGGTAGGAAACAGATGGTGACCTCCTGAAGGTCAGCAGTGCCCTGGAGCCCAGCCAAGAGGCTGCCAGCCTCCCCCACCTCCATGAAGCCCAGAGCCAGCAAAGCACATGGCGGGCACACCCACCGCCGAGACCCTTGGTGTCACACCTGGCTTTCCATGCTCGTGCTGGGGTCCCGGTGCCCCCAGGCATGGAAAACAATGGGGAGAGGGGCATCCTGGCAGCAAGACTAAAGCGCATCCAGGGCCTCTATGGGGGTTGCCCAGAAATCACTGCTGACCCACTGTTCCAACCATAAAGTTTCACTCCTTGATATTTGTTTTTTCCCCTCCTAGCAGCCCCCATTTAATCCAAAGTCCTGACCCATCATGAATACACATGTGGGGGTGGCTCAGAGTCAGCCGCAAAGCCTGTGCTCAGGGACAGTGAAGTGGACACGGCGGCCCGTAAGGTCACTGGCTCCCACGACCACCAAACCAGAGGATGGGGGGGAGGGGGAGAGGCCCCTCCTACCACCTCTGTGTGCAAGGCTGGGCACAGGGTCCCCTGCCTCCTGCAACCACCATCAGGGCCACCGTGAAAGCCCTTTCCCAGAATGAACTGTTACCAAGGAGGACAAAATTCGACTTAGTCACATGATAATCTGATGTGATGAGGAAAAGAAAAACTTGATTGAAAGGACGGGCATGAGGACCAGAGGGAAGAAGACTCCAGTGCGTCCTCACGTGTCCAGGCGCTGGATCTCGGGCCTGCTGTCCACGTCTCTGGACTCAGTACGGGCGCGGATGTAGTCGTTGGCGCTCTGCTGCCGGAGGCTGACCCTCCACTTCTGCACAGCCAGGAACGTGTTCACTGCGTAGGCTGCTGTTGCCAAGAAGCCGAATATCTACAAGACACAAGCCGCGTTAGTCCGCAGGGCCCCTGAGCAGCTTACAGTGAGCAAGGTGCATTAGCCTCTCCTGGCTGTAACGCCAACACCCAGTCCCACTAAATGTCCAACTGTCAGACCCTGGCCAAGTTCATAGTCGTGTGACCCACAGAAAGGCAGCCTCAGGTCTCTTTCAAAGTATTCTGGATCTACAAGGAAAAAAAGATCACAGAAGGGCCTCTTTTACAGACCTTCATGACACTGGTCCCCGGGAGAAATACCATGTAGACAAAACACCATGTAGATGAAAAATCAGAGTCTCAAGTGTGACCCCAAATCAAGCCACAAGGCCCAGCATTCCATATCTTAGCCCCCCAGCCCCACTGCCTCTCATGTGGGCAGCTCTGGGGGGACAGCTTGAGAGTGAAAAGTGGTGGTGTTTTAATGATTAGATAATGACTGACGAACCTATTGAGTGATACCTGGGAGAGCTCATAGTTTCGTATTCTCACTAAACCTTTTAACCATCCTCTCAGTTATAAAAGTGCTGCATATTCTTTGTAAATACCAAACAATAAAGAAAGGCAGAGCACAGAGAGACAGTCTTACATTACCTGGTCCCATCCTCCGCCCCCACCCCCTACTATGCTGATTGCCATGTGGTGTCCAGACTGCATCTTCTTCATGAACACCCCACCCTGGCAGGGAAGGCCCTTAAAAGCAACAGCCCTTTCAGACATCCAGGGCTCCACTAGACAGAGACTGAAACAGAGGTGCTCAAACCACAGTGTACATCTGAGAGCTTGTTAAAACACACTGCCAATTCGGCAGCTCTGGGGATGGCTGAGAACGCCATCTGCAACAAACTCCCGGGTGATGCTGCCGTTGCAGGGACCACACTTTAAGAATCACAGCACTGAAGGAACCGGGGCCTCCGCTGGCCCAGTGACATCATTAGCAAAGGAGAAGCTAAAGGAGAAGCAGTAGGACAGAAGCCCAGGGGACAGAGGAACAAGGCACAGAAAGTGTATGAACCAGCCTTGTTTTGACCTCTTGAGTTCACTTACCACGGCAGCGATTTCTGCTCCGGTTTTGTGGTTTAAAGCAGCCAGTACGATCGACGCAATAAAGAAAAAGAAAGTGCTGAGTCCAGTGTTGACCAAATCCTAAAGAATAAGATAAAGTCGCAAAAGGATCATTGTCGGTTTTGTCTGAAAAAACCACTGAAGAACTTTTGACATAAAAAGCACAATACCCAGCCTCTCTGATGGCTCCTTATTTTTGTTTTGGTGGCCCAGGGGTATTGATCACACAGAGGAAGGCAAAGCGGATGCTATTAATCCTCTTTAATTTAATAGTTAATGATGCTGCTTGATACACCACCACAGAAAAATCCACATTTTAACCAAACACATCATGTTACCATTTCTTTCTTTCTTCTTTTTTGACCTTGCCTCAAGGCATGTGGGATCATTTTTTCTGACCAGGTATTGAACCCATGCCCCCCTGCAGAGGAAGCTCAGAGCCTTAACCACTGGACCACCAAGGAAGTCACCATGTTAAATTACCATTTATTAATGACCTATTATAGAAACCAAACTGCTAACCCACAAGGACACATTCACTAATTACCAGGTAGAGTTCTATTGTCTTCTTTTCAAAACACGTTCAAATCCTCCTATGGACAAGAATGGATTTAAACTGGTGAAACCCCTTCATGTATTTGTGACACATAAAAAGTACTGCTTTCAGACCTGGAGAACACACTTAGCCAGGCCTCACACTTCTCTTCCTTGTGCATGGGCTCTCAAGTCTCCATGATGCTAAAGCCTAGAGGATTTTCCCCTAAGCTCCTTGCAAAGCAAATCAGGTTACAAATCCAACGCTTCAAAGATTTAGTTCCTGTCTTACTTGTCCAGGGGAATACAGCACAGTGATTCATAGAAACACCCAGACGAGGGTCCTAACCAACCACAACTGTGGATGGGCCACTTTGCCTCTCGTGTCATATGTGGGCACAGCCTCCCAACCCTCCGGAGTTGTTTCAAGCACTGGGTGGAACAGCGTACATGAAAAGCCAAGCGTGTGCCTAGTCCACACTTAGGGTTCCCTGCATGTTTATTGTTACTTCTGGTATTTCCACTTGTGTATTAGGCCCCCACAGCTTGGGTCATACCAGAGCACCTCTATGATCTCTACAGCGAAAGAGAAACCAGGCAAAACCTACACTGCTTAGGTGCTAGCTCGACTGTATCATCAACACCAGGTGGGTCCTGCCAGCTGGCCTGGCTTTGGGGGCCATCTCCTTCTTAAAGATGGCAAAAGGCAACATTCACCTCCTAACAGTCCTGAGCCCTGTAGCAGCTCCTGCCACACTCCTGGCCAGCCAGCGCCTCTGTCCCTGCTCATGGAGAGCAGTGAAGAACAACTACAAACTCTACCCAGAGAGGTCTACCAGCAGGGCAGTTTTCAGTGGTGACCAGTGTGAAGCCAGGACAAACGTTTCACAAAGTTAAACCTGGACGCATTTAGTTACACCCAACTCTGGGTAAGGAGCTGCAGGGATAAAGACAAATATACTTTCTAAACCAAAGGCTACTCAGAAACAGGGGGAAATGTTTTATGATAAAATGCTAAGATTTTGAAGAGGTTCATGTGTCTACAGCTATACCACCCTGAACATGCCCAATCTCCTCTGAAGATGTGCATATTATTTGTTTATGAATTCCACATTTGGAAATTTTAAACAGCATACTTCTTCAGTTCAGTTCAGTGCAGTCGCTCAGTCATATCCGACTCTTTGCGACCCCATGAATCTCAGCACGCCAGGCCTCCCTGTCCATTACCAACTCCCAGAGTTTACTCAAACTCATGTCCATGGAGTCAGTGATGCCATCCAGCCATCTCATCCTCTGTCATCACCTTCTCCTCCTGCCCCCAATCCCTCCCAGCATCAGGGTCTTTTCCACTGAGTCAACTCTTCGCATGAGGTGGCCAAAGTATTGGAGTTTCAGCTTCAGCATCAGTCCTTCCAATGAACACCCAGGACTGATCTCCATTAGGATGGACTGGTTGGATCTCCTTGCAGTCCAAGGGACTCTCAAGAGTCTTCTCCAACACCACAGTTCAAAAGCATCAATTTTTTGGCACTCAGCTTTCTTCACAGTCCAACTCTCACATCCATACAGGACCACTGGAAAAACCATAGCCTTGACCAGACAGACCTTTGTTGGCAAAGTAATGTCTCTACTTTTTAATATGCTCTCTAGGTTGGTCATAACTTTCCTTCCAAGGAGTAAGCGTCTTTTAATTTCATGGCTGCAATAACCATCTGCAGTGATTTCGGAGCCCAGAAAAATAAAGTCTGACACTGTTTCCACTGTCTCCCCATCTATTTCCCATGAAGTGATGGGACCATATGCCATGATCTTAGTTTTCTGAATGTTAAGCTTTAGGTCAACTTTTTCACTCTCCTCTTTCACTTTCATCAAAAGGCTTTTTAGTTCCTCTTCACTTTCTGCCATAAGGGTGGTGTCATCTGCATATCTGAGGTTATTGATACTTCTCCCGGCAATCTTGATTCCAGCTTGTGCTTCTTCCAGCCCAGCGTTTCTCATGATATACTCCCCATACTTCTTAAATCGTCTTAAATAGCATACTAGTTGCAAAAAGGTCTAAGCATAAGGATGTTCATCATGTTATTTAAAAGAGCAAAAAACTGAAGATAAAATACTTAAAAATCAAGGACTTGTTAAGTAAAATGGTATTTCCAATTGGAACAGTATGCAGTCCTTAAAACTAATAATATAGTTATATTTAACATGGAAGACACTCAAGATAGTTCAAATGGGAAAGTTTGACTTTAACGGTTTCATTTTTTGGCATTCAGATATCACAACATACATCTACTTGTGAAAGACAGTCTAGGGAATTCTAGAGTATTACACCCCTGTATTAAATGGTTACCCCTGGATGGCTGCTATCACATATGATTTTAATAACAGCTTTATTGAGATATAATTCACCACAATCTAATTTTAGAACATTTTTAGCACTTCCAAAACAAACTTCATACTCATTAGCAGTTAATTCTTCATTCTTTCCCTGAATCCTAGGCAACTACCAATCAGTTTTCTGTCTCTAAGGATTTGCTTATCCTGCACATTTCATATAAATAAGAAATTCTTTAAAAGAAAAAATAATCCAGGGGCTTCCCTGGTGGTTAACAACCTACCTCCCAGTGCAGGGGATTCGGGTTCAATCCTTGGTGTAGGAACTAACATCCCATATGCTGGCTGTGGGGCAATCGAGCCCATGCCTCACAACTGCTGAGCCTGTGCCTCAACTAGAGAAAGTCCTCACACTGCCATGAAGACCCAGTGAAACCAAAAATTTAAAAAAAAAAAAAAAATCCAACTTTCAGCTGCTCCTGAAAAATTGCCCTTAAAAGTCCCGTGAAGTAACACAACTGGCTGGGACTTAGTAGGAGAACAACCTCTGGGTCTCACAGACCACTGGCCCATCTCCTCACTTGCCCATTTCCATCATATACCCAGCCCCTCAGGGCCCTGAGTCCACGATCCTACTCCAGTCCCAGAGAATGGGCCCTCCTACAAAATGCCCCACCCTTCCATACCCTGTGCCCAGCAAGCACCTATTCATCCCTTGAGGCTCAACTGGAATCTGGCGTTTCCTCTGAATTTCCCCGATTGACCTGTTCCAGGCCCCCTCCCCTGAGGAACCCACTGTTTTCTCCCAGACCTCACACAAAACTACATCACACACAGCATACACACCATGGAAGAGCAGCTAGCATCTACCCTGGGCTTGCTTTCAGTTCCCAAAGCCTGGCCCCAGACAGGTGTTCAACACCACTGGGCTCTGTGACTGGCTGAAGTCAGTTCTACACACCCATAAGAGAGGAGGCTTACGCCCCTTCAGCCCATACTGCGCCCTGACGGCCCCAGTACCATGAGATCGATCATAGTACTGATGACAGTGAGAGAGACACAGCAAAGGGACAAGGTAGGTAATTAAATAGCTGATCCCACTAAGGGATTGTAAGTGAAAAAAAATATGGGAGACCCCTATAAGTTAATAATCACTTAAGAAAACGGGTTTAAAAAAAAAAGAAAAAAGGTTTGCTTAACTACAAAACCAAGCAGGCTTCCTGAGCAACAAAACCGTGCAGCAAAAGCACGAGACATGCCCCAAGACAATAAAACAGTGGTGGCATGGGACCCACATCCTGCCCAGTGAGCTCAGTAAGTTAATGGCCCCTAGGACATGCTCTTTGCACACATAAAAAACAATAATTTATGGAAAGGTGACATTTCAAAGTAAAGACCCTCATTGTACTGAGACCTGAAATAACATTTTCACAGTGCCATGACCATCTTGGCTTAATTAGGTAGGGACAAAAAAAGTCCCCCACTCAACCTGGAGGAGGAGCTGATGATAGAGGCATGACATCTACTTAAAAAAAAAAAAAATGAGGAAAAAGAAGTGCTCTTTTTACTCTCCCCACTTTTTCTTTGATTATAAAACTGTAGCCCTCTCGCCCAGCTGCTTATAAGCCTCACAAGCATCCTATTCTAATAAATCACTTCTTATCTATCACTTTGCCTCTCGCTAAATTCTTTTTGCACTGAGACATAAAGGACAAGAACTCCTCTGTGGAATGGTTTAGTCACTAAGTTGTGTCCGACTCCTGTGATCCCATGGACTGTAACCCAGTCCATGTAGGACCATGTAGGACCATGTAGGACCAGGCTCCTCTGTTCATGGGATTCTCTAGCCAAGAATACTGGAGCAGGTTGCCATTTCCTTCTCCAGGGGATCGTCCCGACCCAGGGATCAAACCCAGGTCTCCTGCACTGCAGGCAGATTCTTTACCTTCTGAGCTACCAGGGAAGCCCCTTTGGAGCCCCCTGAAACGCCACCCTATGGGTTCAGGGGCAGCTACCATCTATAGAGAGCCTACTGTGCCAACCATACAACTCCCAGTGTCTCACTGAGTCCTAACCAAATTAGGATCCAAGACACCTCTAATGAAGGGCCTTGAGGAAGCTGAGTTCTAGAAAAGATGAGTTTGGCATAATGAAAAATATATATTTGGTCTGTGTCCCAGATTCCTTAACATTTCCTGAGTGCCCTTAGTTGCCCTTTAACCTGTGGGGTCTGCATTAACTCCAGGAGTTACTGTCAGAACTAAATTGAATTGCTGAATACCCAAGAGAATCCCCATGGACAGAGGAGCCTGGTGGGCTACTGTCCATGGGGTCGAAAGAGTCGGACACGACTGGGCGACTAAGCACAGCACAGTTGGTCTTAGAGAATTACTCAGTGTGGAAAAACTACACAGATTTGGTGTAGGAAAAAAAAAAAACAACCTATATATTTGGTGCCAAAAGTAGTGTCAGAAAACACCACATAGTGAGACACAGCGAAGCCTCAGGACTCTGCAGGTGGCCCCTCTGGGTGACTCCAGACTGTTCTCAACTCCCCACAGCACCCAGCCTGGGTTCTCAGGTCAGGAGACACCCGTGAGACGAGCAGAGGCCACAAAGGCCATCTAAGAAGGAACACAGAAGAAGAAGAAAAACAGACTGTGGTATCATCAGAGGCAAGAGGAGAGAGTGGGGCAGGATAGAGCGTGAGTGAAGCGTACTCCAGGGCTGAAACGACTGGTGGGGGGTGCGGGACTGGGAAGTAAGCAGAGGACCCGGGAGCTCAGCGATCCCCCCGTGATCCTGACCAGAGCATCTTCAAGAAGGGAGGGTCGGGAGAGTGGATGGCAGAGGGGAAGAGGTAGTCCCCGCGTTTGGAAGAGATACGTGGGAGGCTTGGAGGGTGTTGACACTGTCCTAACTCTTGACCCAGGGGTCTGGCTACATAGTCTTTATCATTCTTCACTAAACTGTACTTTGACTTCTACAGATTTCTCTGAATACGCTGTATTTGACAATAAAAGCAGAGAAAAGAGAGATCAGGATGTAGGGAATTAGAGCAGACATGTGCGGACCTCCCTCCTCTACAAAGCCTGACTGAGCTTCCAGGGCTGGAGGGCTCTGAGTGCCAGCTCCGGGGAGGGGGAGACCCCAGCGGTCAGTGGTAGGAAAAGGATGGAAGGACGGAGGGACAGGGTGGGAGAGGAGGCCAGGGGCACCACCCAGTCATTTGCCCCCAGCCAACGCCATCCTAAAGAAAAGGAGAGATGTTAACTTTCCAGCGAAAAAGATGCGTTTTGATACAACCCCCAACATGTGGTTGCCAACTAGTGGAAAGACTTTCGCAGTTAAAATAGAAAAACTAGGTATTTAAGAAAGCTCACCAAATAGGTGTTTCTGGAGATAAAGGCCTAAACGAATTAATTAGAACCTGAAGTCTTTTTTGTTGTTATGGTGATCTGGGATCAGGGGTCCTTTTAAAATTAACTGTTTATTTATTATTTTGGCCACACCACACAGCTGGTGGGATCTTAGTTCCTCAACCAGTGATTGAACCCGGGCCCACGGCAGTGAAAGTGCAGAGTCCTAACCAGTGGACTGCCAGGGAATTCCTGGTGATTCTTTCTTAAAAAAAAAAAAAAATTGGAAGTGTAGCTGATTTACAATATTAGTTTCAGGGATACAGCACAGTGATTCAGTATTTTTGCAGATTCTACTCCCTTATTGTAAGCTATTGTAAGACAATGGCTATAATTGCCTATGTTATACACTAGAGTGAAGTATGAAGTCTTCTAACAGATTTATGGCTATCAAATAAGTAGATAAGACAGAATTCAGGGTGTGAAGTCAAAGCTGGTGAAGTCTATAGGAGAATGACGTGGCTGACAGACACCAGTGGCCTCTGACTCACAGCAAAGTTACTATTTCTCATACTGGCAGCAGTGCCCACTGGTTTGGAACCTTTGTACACACTTGTCTCATTTCGTTCTTAAAACAACCCTGCAAGAAAAATGCTACCATCTCCACTTGGGGGCTCTAAGTGACTACTTGCCCAGGGTCATATACAGCTCTTAAGAGCCACCCCAGACTTGAATACAGACAGGGCGCCTGACTCAAAGCCCCTGGGTCTTAATCATCCTAGCAGCTGCTTCTTTGTCAAACAGGATAAAACCAGTGTGGTTTTATTCACAGCCCAGCCCAGCGCCTCCCTCAAAAGTATTCATTTTGGCCTTAGACACTCCAGGGGTCTGGGTTTCCAGTGTGCCTTGCCCCATGACGATGACCTTGCCCCCACGGAGCCTGCATGCTGGTTGGGGGAGGTTTGTGAGGTACTCTTGCACTGCCTACTGCCTGTTCATTACACTGTCAATTTAGATCACAACACTGGAAGCATTTTCTTTAACACAGACTTTATCTTAAAAAGAGCTGAGACACTAAAACCTGTCTCCAAGAACCTTGATGAAATGCCTCCAGTAAATCTTGAGGTTTTAGAGCTTATTTCTTCCTTTTCAACGTCAGGACAAAACCAACTGAGTTTTCAATGGACAACTTTTCTAGCCCAGTTCTCCTTTTATTTTTCGTCCTAAAAGGGTCTGAATGACGCAGACAGCACTCTGTCAGGAAGACGATCACCTCTTGGTTCCCCCACAGGAACACCATGGGCGTGGCCCTGCCAGGCAAGGTGACCAGCCAGGCTGCCTCCCCGGGCTCCGGCACTCCAGGCCACGCTCTCCACAGTGCTGCACCGGCCAGCAGCAGAGGAGCCCATGTGCGGGCACGTGGTCTCAGAGCCCCTCCCCCCCAGTCCAAGGCCCCCAGCTGATAGGGCCTGCCTGTGTTTCCCTAACTGGTTCTCTTTGAGCTCCTGCACATGCTTATTTGCAAAGAAATATCAAGAAAACAAAGTGCTGTTAAGTTCACTCTTCCACTTGGCACAGTAGGGACAAGTAACACAAGTCCAGGAAAGGAGGCCTGGGAGTGACCGGCTCTGATCCCGTGCTGATCAGAGAGTAAGGCTGTCAGAGTTAAGAGCCCCAAACCATGGAGAGAAAAGGACACATTTCCTCAAGACTTGCTGATCAACCCAGCAAACCCTCTGGGACTTCCCAGCTGCTTTGAATTTAATAATAATAATATTCCTAGGTTTCACAAGTTAATGGCAATTTCATTCATATTTTCAGCTCTTCCCGAATCAGTACTTTTGCAAACAGCTTTCAGGTCCAGTGTGAAAATCTGCAAATGTATTCATTCCATGCTCTCTTTCCCATATTCTATAAATATCAACATTACCAATCATCTCAAAGGATCCGCAAATCAAAATAACATCTTTAAAGAAGTCAGAATAATCGTTAAGTTTCTGTCATTAGTGAAGGTCCTATTAATTCTGTAGTTATGTTATTCAACCCAGGAAGGAAATTTAAAATTTCACAGTTGCATTACAAGGGAATATTTATGTATCAAAATGAACCGGAACCAAACATGTCATAGAATGATTCCCGATTTTCCCGGGAGCCGTGGAGCACTTGATCCTTTCCTAGTCAGAGAACATGACTTTTACTCACTGTCAGGTTCCAGTTGATCTGGGGAATTCTCATGTGAAGGTTGAGACTGAACAGAATCAGCAAGACTCCGGTCACCACAAACGCACTGCAGCTCACAAACTCAAAAAAGTAGAGGCCTTCACACGGGGAGCATTCCATGATGGTCTCTATGCAGATGAATGCGATCAGGGCCAAGATCTGGGAAGAAAATTGCAAAAACACATGTATGTGTATGGTTAGCACACGTCTGTAGACACACGTGCCTGCCGCCTTTAAATAAAACTCAACCGCCACCACCACATAACAACCATGGAGTTTTCCCCTGGGGACAGCAGTATCAGGGACAGGAAAGTGACCTGATTCAATTCTTACATAAGAATAGGTACAGAGGCCTTAATGAAAAGATCAAATTCCTCATGTGAACAACCATGCCACCACAGGATGCTGACACCAGTGCAGCCCCCCATGAGGAAGCAGAGAGGAACAGGCTCAGAGTGTTTTTAGTTCTGCCTCTGCCACCAGTGAGCGGACACCACCTACGCGCATTTTTCACTCACAGTCTCTATCAGGGTGATATCAAACATTAACAGGGCAGGGTCCTGGGGGTGTCTGTGTTAAGATATTTGCAACTATCCTTGCTGGTTCAGCTGATGTCACACAGGCTGACTGAGACCTGTGTGAGGTCTGACAGTGAGGCTGACTGAGATGGCTTTAGAAGGACTTGTATAACCCCTCCATTTAGAAGTCCTACCCCCAAATAAGGCCCACATAATTAAATCAGGTGTGAAAGGAGAAATCGGCGGCAGAGGATGAGATGGTTGTATAGCATCACTAACTCAATGGACATGAGTTTGAGCAAACTCTGGGAGATAGTGAGGGACAGGGAGGCCTGGCGTGCTGTAGTCCATGGGGTCACAAAGAGTTGGACACGACCTGGTGCCTGAACAACAACTATAATTAATTTATGAGCCGTGCTTTTTAAAATGTTTATCATTGGAGGGACCTGCCTGGCGGTCCAGCGGTGAAGAATCTGCCTTGCAATGCTGGGGATGAGGGTTCAATCCTTGGATGGGGAACTAAGATCCCATTTGCTGCAGAGCAATTAAGCCTGAGCACCACAACTAGAGAGTCGGGGTGCCCGAATGAGAATCCACATGATGCAACTACAACCATCTGTGCCACAACTAAGACTCAGCACCGCTAAATGGATGAATGATTCTACCTTGCGATGTGGGGGATGCAAGCTCATCCCCTGGTCGGGAAACTAAGATCCCATGTGCCTTGGGGCAACTAAGCCCGAGGGCCACAACTTGAGAGCCGGAATGCTGCAACGAAAGATCCTGTATGTTGCCACAAAGATCCTGCATGCCACAGCTAAGGCCTGATGCAGCCAAATAAATTTTTTTTAAGTTTATCGTTGGATTTATCATGAAGAGACAGCCTGGGAAGTTTATAAAAACATTTAAAATCTACCAACATTAGAAACATCTTTCTGAAGGACCCAAGTAACACTCTAGCAATATGTACTAAGAGATCAGAGATCGTGAAGGCAAACAGGTGTCAATGAAAATCACCAGGTCAACTTTTAAAGTGAGATTTTGGGAACAGGAGGAGGCCCAGGGACTGAGTTTAATGGCCCTGTGATCAAGGAAAAGTCACATGGTCTTACACCTAAAACCAGACCAGCCTTGGGCTCCTGGCCTGTACCCTATACTTCTGTAACCCAGCTCCTCACCACCTACCTACCAACTGTCAAGCCTATGCCAAAGCTTCCAGGCTGACCTCCGCCTCCAAGGCAGAGGAAGAACGGGCAGGCAGCTCTGTGGTCCCAGGCCTGTCCTCAAGAACAGCAACATCAGCATCACCAGGGAGCTCGTTACAGATGAAAACGCAGACTCTCTGCCTCCCCTCCTTGACCCCCAGAGTCAGAATCTGCTTTTTGACAAGATCCCCAGATGACTGAAGTGTGGGGAGAACAGAAGGCCCAGGCTACTCTGGGGCCCTTCTTTTCCTCCAGGGGTCCCACTTGTGCCTTGATCAGCTCACTCCTCCCCCTGCCCTCCCTGATGTTGCTTCTCCCCGCCAGACATGACTGATCCCACCCTTCCCCAGGAAAGCTTGGTCTGCAGTTGCATCCCGTCTTTTATACCTGCCACTACACACCTCTCTGCCTCCTGAGCTCTCGGAGCGCAGCGGCCAGCCCACCTCCCTCCACTCCCAAGGCACCAACCACGCGAACCTGCACAAAGCAGGTAAATGGGGGCGCAGGGAGCTGCTACAAACCCACCCCAACAATTCCCGACAGACTCGCCAGTCTCCACATGAAAGGAAGGGAGGCTGTCCTTTTTCCATGCCTTTTTAACAATATGTAGTCTTTCCATATTTCCACGTCAACACGTTACAAATACGGGCCTTTTAAGCACACACTTTCTGCTTCTCCTAATGGCTCTCCTAACTCTCTACAGAACCAGACACTTTTTTTTCTCATTTATTTTTATTAGTTGAAGGCTAATTACTTTACAATATTGTAGTGGTTTTTGCCATACATTGACACGTATCAGCCATGGATTTACATGTAGAACCAGACACTTTAATTCTCCATCTGAATTACATGCCTGACTTGCAATCAATTCACAAAGAAACAGTTTATATAAGGGAAATTCCAGAAAAAAAAATTTTTTTTACCCCTGTAATTGGATCTAGTAATCTTAGGCAAGAAATAATACACTCTACTGATGAGTTACAAATGTTTCTGGTATGCTAACTTCAACCATATTTGTGTGGGAAGGTAACACCTACATTCTTATGTATTAAAATAAATATGATTTCAAGAATATGCAAATCAGATAGGCCATTCAACACAGGAGTGCACAGAACAGACAAAATTCCCTGTTCTCTAGCTCATATGCTAATGAAGAATCTTTTTAAATTAAATTTTAAAATGTAGCATATTAGACAGTGATAAGCACAAAGAAGAAAAATCAAAGCAGGGAAGGAAGATGAAATGTAACCAGGGCAAGGATGTTGGAAATTTTAGGCAGAGTGACCATGGGAGGCCTCTGTAGAAGGTTCTAGATTTACTACAAAGTTCACTTTAGTTTATTATAAAGTTATTAAAGGATACGATTAAAGAGTCAGATAAAGAGATACACAAGGCAAAGTCCAGAAGGGTCTTAATTACAGGAACCTCTGTCTCCCTGGAATTTGAAGTGCACCCACCCCCAGCAATTGGATGTGCTTTGGCTCACCAACGTAGATGATCAATCCTGTTCAAGAGTTTTTATAGAGGTTAATGTGGAGTCCCCTTCCCTTTCCAGAAGTCGGCAGGTAAGGTTAAAAGTTCCAACTCTCTTATCAGCTGGTTGCTTCCCCTGGCAATCAGCCCCCATCCTTAGGAGCTTTCCAAAAATCATCTCATTTAACACAAACTCAGGTGTGGCTGAAAGAGATTTGTTGTAAATATAAAAAATATAGATATCAAACACCTCTTATCACTTAGGAAATTCCACGAGTTTTAAGAGCTCTGTGCCAGAAATGGAATGAAGACCAAATACATATTTCATTATTCCAAATCACAGTATCTCAAGAGTTAGACTTAAATACACACATATATACAACTATAGACATACAGTAACACCCAGTGATAGGTGTTTAGGTGGTTTGTAATACTCTTACATAAACTGTACACTGTTTTTAAAAATTTGACTGTGTTGCGACTTGTCGACCTCTTCTTGCGGTGCTGGGGCTTAATTGCTCCTTGGCATGCTGGGGGCTTCCCTGGTGGCTCAGATGGTAAAGAATCCGCCTGCAATGCGGGAGACTGGGGTTTGATCCCTGAGTTGGGAAGATCCCCTGGAGGAGGGCACAGCAGCCCATTCGAGTACTCTTGCCTGGGGAATCCCCACGGACAAAGGAGCCTGGCAGGCTACCGTCCACAGGGTCGCACAGAGTCGGGCTGAAGGGACTGAGCATCAACAGGCGTGTGGGACCTTAGCTCCCTGACCAGGGGCCTTATGGTTTATCCATTCTGAATAATAGTTTGTATCTGCTAATCCCACACTCCCAATCCATACCTCTCCACCCCCTCTCCCCCTTGGCAACCTCAAGCCTGTTCTCTATGTCTATGAGTCTGTTTCTGTTTTATACATTGATAAGTTCATTTGTGTTATATTTTAGATGCCACATGTGTCAAACAGTGTTCTGCCTATGTTTTCTTCTAGGAGTTTTATGGTCTTACATTCAGGTCTTCAATCCAATTTTTAAATTTTTGTATATGGTGTTAAGAGAATGTTCTATTTTCATTCTTTTACACAGAGCTGTCCAGTTTTCCCAGCACCACTTATTGAAGAGACTGTCTTTTCTCTATTGTATATTCTTGCCCCCTTTCTCATAAATGAACTGACCATAAATTCTAGTAAGGAGAATACTTTTATTTTGCCTGCCTTTTGGTACAGAAAATGTCAAATTTCCTCCAGCACAGTCAAATATAACAATCATTGTTGAAGTAAAACCTATCTAATAGCCAATAAGGAAACAGAGACTCAGGTAGTCCAGTGGTTAGGACTCTGCACTTCCACTGCCAGAGGCATAGGTTTGATCCCTGGTTGGGGAACCAAGATCCCACATGCTGTGTGGCATGGCCGAAAAGAAAGAAAACAGGGACTCAAAGTTATACTGAAAGCCAACAACTTCGAAGCACCTACAGAATCAAAAGTAATTCAACTTATAACAATTCTGCAGTAGGCAAAGATACATGTAAAACTGTACAGAGATGTTCAAAAAGACGTAAATAAGGAAGAGCCATTGCATTGCTCACCAGGAGATCACAGGGGCACCCTTGAAGAAAGTCCACTCTCTGTAGCACCTACCAACTGCTCAGGAGTAAATATTTGCATGCTTGAAAGGTAATGATGTTAAAAGGCTGTCAGTGCTCTGTAACGACCTCAAGGGATGGGATGGGAGGGGCTTCCGGAGGGAGGGGACACATGTATGGCAATGGCCAATTCATGTTGATGTATGGCAAAAAACCATCACAATATTGTAAAGTAATCGGCCTCCCATTAAAATAAATTAAAAACAAAAAAGGTTGTCAAATTTCCACAACTATGGCTAATTATGACTGGCAACATCAAAAAGCCTGGATGGGGGGCAAACAGCTGGCTGATTAAGATGACATAAAACTTTTAAAAAATTCATAA